ATATTAGGCATATAGCATGGTGTATTTTTATTCGTTTTGTTAATACATCAAACTCACAGAACTTTTATTTTGTCGTTGCTTGAATTGAATCGACGCCGAATTGCCGCTAATTTGAAAGTGAAAGTAAAATGTGCACGGAGCTATTTAAAAGCGAAGGAAAGCGAGGAAACGAGGGCAAACGCAAATGTCTTTGAGTCATTCATTCATTCGATTTGTTCAAATGGCTGATTCTCTCTTTATGAATGGGTCTTTGAATCATTGATTCACACAATTCGTTCAAAACGTGGATTCATTCAGAAACTAAACACCACTGTGTTGCTCAGACGCACAACAGTTCTGCTGTGGCTTTATAGGTAATATTTTTGTTGGCAAAAACAGACAATATTGTGTTTAAAATATCTCTCGCTGCTTGTGTGATATCGCTTATCATATGATACAAATATGAGACGAAAAGCTCACACAGGAGCATTTTTGCCCCAATATCTTGAATTTTAGGTCCATGCGATTGTCCCAACGAAGGTATCCAATGGTGGATGAAGGTTTCATGTGTGTTCGGTCTTTTCGGCACGCAAAGTTATTTAATTGAAGTTAAATTCTAATCCGACTCCATTTTATTATGACCTCGCATTTGAGTTAGAATGCCAATTATTATTGATCATTTATAGGATAATTTATCTAGACATCTGATTATTCTGTTTAATATTATTGTACTCGTTCATTCGGGTGCTCATGTCGCTCAAAGATAGCGCTTCGGCCGTCAGCGTATCTTACGGTCACATTCTCGTCAGTCTTGGTTATTAGACAGAGGTAATTGACTAATACTTTAGACGGTCGCTCCTATGCTTGCGCATTCTAAAAGTACTTTTAATTAGCCCCCATAGATTTGTACACACTTGAATAAAGCTACATTATTTCTAGTCAGAGGTCACGACCACTACTATAGATATAAGCCGACCAACATTACTTTCCTGGTCATGCCATGGTCTCCCATGTACACTTAGCTAGAATAATATTACAATAAACAGAGGTTAGGCTCACCTTATTTATTCCGTCTCAGAAGATAAAAGTGTCTGAGGTTCTCACTGCATAAACTGCATTTATGGGGTTGTTGCCCTGCATCATATTTGTCAACAGTATGAAATGTAAGATGATGTACAGGTCTGGGGGCCAGTGCGTTAACTGCGTTAAAATATTTAATCGCGTTATTTTTTCATAACTAAATAATTAACGCATTAAACTGACAACCCTAATATATATATATATATAATGTGACCCTGGACCACAAAACCAGTCATAAGGGTCAGTTTTTTTAAATTGAGATGCATGTATCCAACCCGGAAAACTATCGGCATGGATTATTGCCGATAACCGATAGTTCCAGCAATCAACTATCGGTGCCGATTAATCGGTTGACCTCTATAAATTAAATAATCTGAAAGCTGAATAAATAAGCTCTCCATTGATGTATGGTTTGTTAGGATCGGACAATATTTGGCCGAGATACAACTATTTGAAAATCTGGAATCTGAGGGAGCAAAAAAATCTAAATATTGAGAAAATCATCTTTAAAGTTGTTCAAATGAAGTTCTTAGCAATGCATATTACTAATCAAACATTAAGTTTTGATATATTTACGGTAGGAGATTTACTAAATATCTTCATGGAACATGATCTTTACTTAATATCCTAATGATTTTTGGCATAAAAGAGAAATGTATAATTGTGACCCATACAGTGTATTGTTGGCTATTGCTACAAATATCCCCCAGCGACTCAACACTGCTTCTGTGCTGCAGAGACATATATATATATAGTTTTGTTTAAGGGTTTCGGCTGACAGCAAGGTTTGTGAATCCCTGTATTTTGGCATGTATTATATGTGTGTGTGTGTTGCAGGGTTCCAGGCGTCTCCTCAGGACAGGTTTCTGGTCATGGCAGCAGAGATGGAGAGCAGCGGCGGAGCCGGCGTCTCAGAGCTCGCTCAGTTCTGGAAGGAGGTTTCTAAAGCCAAAGTCATGGAGCACAGGTGACGTCTGTCACACACCCGCTGCATTCTGGGAACACCGGCTCGCTCACGAATACAGCGCAAAATCTGCATATGAATGTTTTCACAAACAAATGCAATTTTTCTGATAATGCAGCTAAAAAATAAATTCCAGGTTTGCTGTGCTTGTTTGTAAGGCTGCACAATTTGGCCATTAAATATCAATATGGCTATAAAATAATAATAAAAATAAAACCATGTTATTATAAAATAATTAATATTAGTAGTAGTACTAGTAGTAAATAAAAATATAAAAAAGAAAAAGGTATGAGAAAATATAATGCAATTATTATTTTTATTACTACTATTATTACAAAATAATTACAAAAAATTACAAAATAAAATAAATCTTCTGGTTATAATTTAACTGTAAAATAAAATATTGAAAGAAAAATGTAAGAACCACATTATTAGTGAATTACTCATTTATTATTTATTAAATAAGAATTACAAAAATATTACGGTTATATTTTACTGTAAAATAAGATTTAGGATTTAGGAAAAATATAATAACCATTAATAAAAATAGAAATTACGAAACAAAATAAGAAGCATTACTAGTGTAATACTTCAATGTAAAATAAGTTTAAGAAAATAGTTTTTTTCCATTATAACTAAAGTTACACTACAAATATTTATTTCTTGATTTTCATGTGAAGCCATTTAATTGTATTTTGACAGAAAGCCACATGGAGGATTGTTGATAATCGCTTCTCATTACAAGCAAAACGTGCATTTAAGTTCCCTGAATAACGAGCCGCTCGTGTGTGATTGAACACAGTGCCGCGCTTCACTCCGAAACGATAAACACAGTTGAGAAACAGCGTTTGAAAGGCAAGCGGATCACAGAAGCGAAGGCTTGGACTCGGAGATGTGAAAGAAGTCGACAGCCGTCTGATGACTGACTCTCGGAGCGTTTGAGACGAGATTGAGCTGGTATTATCTGTTTCCTCAGGCTGCGCTGTCTCCTCCTCGAGAGCCCGAAGTCTATTCTGAGCAACTGGTCTGAGAGTCCGTCAGCGGCGAGCAACGAGCATCAGGACCTGCAGAGCACGGTGAGACACGGTCCACTCCGAGACAAAAACATGGATGCTTTATGCGCTGCTCAGGTTTCAGATTTGTCGTTTCAGACCAGCGGAAAGAAAACTTTCAAAATGCATTTTTAAGGGTTTATTTTATTGCATTTTGCTTTGCAACTTGTTTGATTTTGACATATTAGAGTTGATGGTTTTTACAGAGCATTATTAGTGTAATACTTCAATGTAAAATAAGTTTAAGAAAATATTTTTTTCCATTATAACTGTAAAGTTACACTACAAATACACTCTGGATTTCTCTTTTTATCACGCCATAAATTATGGAAGCATATTTCTGCAATAACTAAAGATGAAATATAAAAAAAAAGTTTTTTTTTTTTTTTTTTTTTTGGCTCTCACAATTCAGATTTTTTTTTTCTCATAATTCAAATTTAGGCTTTTTTTCTTAGGATTGAGTTACTCACAATTGAGTTTTTTTCCTGTGGAAGTTCATGAGAACTTCTCTTGTACCAATACTTAGAGCCAAGTAAATAATTAGAAAAAGTTTTTGTTTCTGATGAAAATTGTGATTGCAAATGTTAAAAAAGTAATATGATAATAATAAGTAAATAAAAACAAAAATTACCATTATAACATTTCACTGTAAAAACATTATATAAATAAAAATAAATAAATTACAAAAAATGACTAACAATGTTTCACTATTAAAAAGTATATTATTATTATTATATAAAAGTCAAATTAAATAAAAATGTAAAAAAAAAAACTCCATTAAAACAAAAATAAATACGGTTATATTTCATTGTGAAAAAAAAGTGATATTTTATTGCACTTTATCTGTATGCATCTGTAGATTTGTTACAAAACATATCTTTAAAGGCTATTTTCTCAAAATGATTTTCTTTCTCCAACCTTTACGGTTTTATTCCTATCTATATTCTGAAGATTTGTACTGCTGTATGGTTTGTTCATATACAATTCACACTGATTTACAAGATTGTATTCCTAAAAACATGGTGATAATGTATGGAAGGTTATTTATGAAAATTAAAAAGGTAACAGACTTCTCAATCTCACAATTATGGCTTTTTTTCTTGCAATTCTGAGAAAGAAACGTCTCAGCTGTGAGATATGAACTCATAATTGTGAGGAAAAACAAGTCAGAGTTGAGATTCTTCGTGGTAGAAACGAGCTTCCATAATTTTCCGATTTATGGAGTGATGAAAGAGAGAAATCCCAAACCCTTAGCATCTCAACAAAATCAAGCAAGAGTTTTGAACCTGGCTTTATGAAATGTTCAGAATTATCTTCTGGAAATGCTTGCAAATTAGTGCATATTGAATTAAATCAGCCTCATTTGCATATTTAAATACAATCCAAAAACGTTACTGTTCTACCCCCGGTTTCACAGACTTAAGCCTAGTCCCGGACTAAAATGTAATTCTGAGCAGTTTCAACTGAAAGATACTTAAAATATATCAAAGCCTTTGTTTTGTCTCATGCACACCACTAATGTTTTTTTTTTTCTAAGGCATGTTTATAAAAATCACTTATAAATGTCCTAATTAAACTATGGCCTAATCTCGGTTTAGTCTAAGCCCTGTCTGTGAACCCAGGCCTCGGTGTACTGCGATTAATCAGCAGCCCTATATTCACCTTATTGTGCATGATTGATTAATGCACGTCTTTCTGAAACGTGACTCTTCCCGTGCATCTGTCATCAGCTGATGCGTGTGATGGCGAGTAACTCGCGTCTGGAGCAGAAGCTGGACTCGTGTCTGTGGACGCAGAAGGTTCTTGTGCTCATGGTGTGGTTTCTATTGGCCCTCGCTGCATACTCGCTCTGGACGTCCTGAAGCTCACAGACTGTCAAACCCAGAGACATTATCACGCAGAGCCGTCCAAACACACAAGCTACGAGCTGAATCATGGGGTTTTATCAGAAATACACCACGCTGTAATTTATAAAGATTGTGTAGAGTTCTTAACATCATGCAAATGTAATTAACTCAGTCTGATTTTAATATTATATACAGTATTTTATAAAAGTATGAACGTGTGATCAATAAAAATGACACTTTTGCTATGCATCACGGTGTGCTTTTTTTTTTTTATTGCAAATGACTGAATCTCCTTTAGCGTGATCTGAAAAACTAATTACAGTTAACTAGTTTGGAATAAATTGCAAATCATGTGCTTTTTTTGCCTTACTTGAGGTAAAAATCACTGTTTTTAAACATTAAATATGTTGTGATTGGTCGATTCAACATCATCCGAGATTAGGATGAGTTTGTTTCTTCATCAGGTTTGGAGGAATGTAGCATTGCATCAGTGTCTCAGCAATGGATGCTCTGCAGTGAATGATTAATTGTGTTTTTATTTGCTTTGTGTTGCACAGTGGTGTGTGTTTCATTATGGACGGATGAATCGTGTCGAGCAGGACTAGGAAATATTGTCATGATATAACAATCTCGTCACGCGTGTGAGATGATGATGAGTGTGAAGAGTGTCTCTTTAACACACAATCACACACTGATGACGCACTCAAGCCCCGCAGATAAATATAGATCAAACCAACACATGCAGCCAAAAAACCAGCGTCTGAAATCGGTCTGTTTTAGGGGCACAACGGGGCTCGAGTATTGTAACATCATGGGATGAATAACAAATAGTGATTGAATTTATTATTTAGTTGATTTAATAACTTTGATCAAAACTAAAAATCATAAATCTTTTGTATTAACGTGACGGGATTCTCATTAGCAACATCTTCAATTTCTTAAAATGTGCCATTTAAGAGGGAACTGGCTTATAACATAAAAAGGAATAAATTAAGGTTTGACACTTTAGATACAGAAACACGTTATATTATTATAGTTTTTATTAATATGTATATATATATATTATTTATTTCAGTTTTCATTTTCATTCTAATTTTTAGTATTTGTGTTGTCATTTTTATTAGTTTTCATTATTAACAAAAACAAATTCTAGTTTTTATTCATTTTTATTTCAGTTTTAGTTACTTTAGTAAATCAAGTTAAACTAAGCAAAAATGAGAAATGTTGCCTTGGTAAATAACTGAAAAAAAGAGTTTATTTTTAAAGCATCAAAACATTTTTTTATCAAATTATGCAGTATTTATATATTAAGATTGTTTGCTTCAACGTAAATAAATTAAAGTAAATGTTTCTACAAACCAGTTTTTTTATTAATGTTTTGTTTTGTTTTTTTCTTCCCAAATGATCCTTTAATGAAATACCTTTTTCTAGCTTAACGTTTAACACAAATAGGAATGTTGCTAGAAACCACTTACATTCTTTTTTCTCAAATGATCCATTATTGAATTGTTGTTTTTTCCTTAACATTTAATGTAAATAAAAAGGTAACTAGAAACCAATTACTTGATTCATGAAAAGTTTTTTTTTTCCTTCATCGGTTTTATGAAACGTAAAGATAGATCCTGCGAGACTCGGAGAAGTCTGCTCAAATCAAACGATCCTGATGCTCTGAACCCACAGATCAACCTCACACACACACACACACACTCTCTCACACACACTCACACTCAACAATCTCTCACACACACACACACTCACACACACACACTCTCTCACACACACTCACACTCACACTCACACAATCTCTCACACACACACACACACACACACTCACACTCACTCACACAGACTCACACAATCTGTCACACACACACTCACACAGACACACACACACTAACATTCACACACACACTCACTCACACACACACACTCACACACACACACTCTCTCACACACACTCACACAAACACACACACACACACACACTCACACACACACACTCACACTCTCACACACACACTCACACACACACTCACACACACACACACTCACACACACACACACACTCTCTCACTCACACTCACACAATCTCTCTCACACACACACATACACACACACACTCTCTCACTCACACAATCTCTCACACACACTCACACTCACACAATCACACACACACACACACTCTCACACACACACACACAC